AGTCTAATAGTACATGGTTGGCAGTTAGCCAATCCATTCCCAAAATTACATCCAGTTAGGAAAGAGGCAAGCAGATCAAGTCCACCTCAAACTCCCTACCATGCACTATCATCGAACACCCCCGAACACACCCACAAAGTTACAACTGGCTTACCTGTCGGGGTAGTCACCACAATATTACATGGCAATTCAATCACATATAGACCCAGACTCTTGACACAGTCCACAGAAATGAAAGAGTGCATAGCACACTAGTCAAACAACATATCAAGTAATCGGCCCTTAATAATGCATTTACCTCAGATCAGTTCCTCTGATTGCGAAGCCTCTACTCCACTTATGGCAAAAACTCTACCAGTAATGCTCAACTTTGGCCTTGTACTCGACCCTGTGCCTCTTGATTCTAGACTCTGACTGCACTAGCACTGTCACTCCTCTTAGCAGCCCAACACACATTTGTAGTGTGTCCCGACTTCTCACAGTTGCTACAAGTTGTCCTTAGCTGTGGGCAGTCCCTCACTATGTGTGGCCCTCCACACCTGAAGCATTTCATCGACCCTCACCCTCTGAAAGAGCCTAATGTTGAGCCATTCCCACTGCTCTTCTTTTGTGATAAAGTCCCTCTAGACTGAGAATTATTGGAGCCCAAATACAGCCCCTTGGAAAATCTAGGGGGTTTTGTATCTTGCCTCACTGGATCGGCTCCCCTTAGTGTCCACTGTCTTTCCCTTTGAATTGGCTTCAAAGATCCTGCTCTTGCTTACTAGAGTGGGTAAGTCAGTCGGCTGGAAAGCGTTGACAACAACTCTAATCTCTGGCCTCAGCCCATGCTCAAATTGAGCACATATGTCTTCCTCTCCATCTTCATTTTGATAGTGAGACCAATATTTCATTACCTCTTGGAACCTTGCTACATACTCCCCACAATCATACTTCCTTGCTTTAGCTCAAGGAATTCACGGGCCTTCTACTTCTTACGGTCACAGGGAAAGTAGTTTCCCAGGAAGCTCGCCTTGAATGCCTCCCATTAAACATAGCCATCCTCATGTGGCAATGTCTGACTGGAAAATCTCCAGTAGTCTTCAGCCTCCCTACATAGCATGTATGTGGCGTAGTTCACTTTGTGTTTTTCCCGACATCCCATGGCATTGAAGATTTTCTCCACATCAGCCAACCACCTCTGTGCTTCTTCAGGGTCAAACCCTCCTTCAAACTTAGGAAGATTGTGCCTAGTGAAGGCAGACAACCCTCGGTACACAGCCGATTCTGCATCTTAGTTATGCACCAAGGCTTCTAGAATTTGAGCCATGCGCTCTATGAGGTCATTACTGCCTCTAGCTCCTCTACCTCTACCAGCCATTATAATCTAAGCTAGTAAACATTTCAACAAACCACAATTCAAGCTATTAGATCAATACAACACTTATAATTCAGGTAAGCAAAATATATCAGCACACAACTTAGATGCTTCAGCCCGATACCCCAGTCCATTTTGGATGAACTATTCTGATACCAAAATTGTAACATCTTGAATTTAATTTCTAAAATAATTGAATTTTGTGAAAGCAAAAATAATAAAAAATTTCATTCAAATGGTTTTCGAAGCATAGTTCAACAAAATATTTTAAAGTAAGGGTGAATTACAATTTGAATCAATAATTGCTATAGGACTCAATTAATACATCAATTTTCAAAATAAATTCCTAAGTCCTATAATAGTTTTATCCACCCCTCCACTGAGCTCGGTGCTAATCGTCTTGGTCACCTGAAAAATAAATGTAAGAGTGAGTACTCTACACTATCCAACACACACATATAACATAGAGACTCACCTTGCACATTCCACACGTATTCTCACATATTTTATTTAATTATAATCAATCACACGCAATACTTTCAAGCATATTATTTCAAATCACAACCGATGTACTCACGACGCCAAAATATTTTACACACGTGCGCTCACTGCACGTAGTCACGCTCACTGTGGCATTGTGATCACAGTTTCACACCATGGATGGTTGCCAGTTACCGCCACCTGACGGATACAAGGTGGGCGGTCATGAGTCACTCGACAAAGGTGTTGGTCAGAGGTCTAGTCAGGAGGAGAGAGTGTGACCTGTGGTGTGGTGCACCCACGCTCACTGTTGGTGTCACTACCACTCTCTCTTCCCTAAGGTATTCCTACTGTCTCCATTTTCCATACCTTCAATGTGTCACTGAACCATTCATAGTATAATTACAATTGCATTTATCATGCCAATTCACACACATTCCAATTACATACAATATTCATATTCATACATGACACACAAGCCCACATTCATACACAGCACACGGCACATATGCCCATATTCACCCACATCACACTTAAACATTAGATCCTCATCAGACTTTACCACACGTTATTAAATCACCAATCAATGGCATGTCACAATATACAATCACCACAATGAGTTCAACTATCTCATCACATCACACATCACATTTCATTCAAACACATAATAATTTCCATCAAACACACATTTCCTATCCTCTATATCAGCCACATTGCAACATTTAACAAAATAACGGTAATCAAAACACAATGAGATAGGGTAGAGTCCCCTTACCTCGAAATGAAGACCCACAACGTAATTCAACGACAAACATGTTCTCCAAACGGATTTCGTCATAAATATAAGGAAAATCCCATGAGAAATTAAGAAATCAAAGAAAATGGGATAAAACCCTGAAACTCTAACTCACAAACTTACCTCCAAACACCCCAAACTTTGAAATAGGGTTTTAAGGCTAGAGAATTAGAGAGATTTCAAAGGGAGATATGAGAAATAAAATTCCCCAAACCCCAAACCCTTTAAATCCCCTTCTGGTCACGATACTCTTGCTAAAGTGAGATATTCTCCCTGCAATGACACCCTCTCTCGCTATAGGGAGAATTTTAGATGAAACTACATTCTAGTTTCTATAGAATCTCGCTATAGCGAGACTGCACCCAGAAATGCACCCTCCACTGTGACCTTCTCGCTTCAGCGACAACGCAACAATTTCATCCTTTCTTCTAGTGCCTTCTCGCAACAGCGAGAATCCTCTCGCTATAGCGAGAACGACACAGTTTCATGCCCATCGTCTAAGGCCTTCTCGCTATAGCGAGAACACCTTACAACATCACACTTAGCCTATTTTCTTAGTCCAATTCCAACCACAAACCAACTTATACATATTTTCACACACGTATTAGTGTCCTAACAAGGTCATATACACACATCCACATCATCATCATGTAAATCAACACACCACATATGGCAATCCACATATATATTAATAATTAAACAATATTATAGTTAAGATTTGATTAGATTTGATTTAGTTTGTTTTGAGTTTAAAGATAGGCTTAGTTTTTTTTAGATAGATTAGTTTTAAATTTAAGTTTTGAAAAAAAAACTTTATCTAACCAATTTTTAAATTTAAATTTCAAATTTTTTTTGAAAATAAAATTTAATTAATATTTTTCTTAAAAAAATAAAAATAAACTAAAATAATTTTAATTTCTATTTTTTATCGAATTTTCTATTTTTAATTTATTTGGTTGATTTTTATTTTTATTTTTTTCTTGCACATTTTTATTATTATTTGATTTGTATAAGGTTTGTTTGTTCCCTTACACACCATTAATCATGCATAATATGAGCAATACCCTCTACCCGAGTCTGAGTAAAATTTAGGTTTAGAAGAGTTGTGTAGTAATAGCAATTTGGATGAACATCCTGTTTGTTTGTCTATCACGAGAACTTCAGCTAGAACTTATCTTATCTAGTGACCTTTTATCTTTAGGCTTACAAACTATCCAAGGTAAGAATGCATGTCATAAATTATTAGGTTAGAATTATAGGAATTGTGATAGAACACTTTGGGAGCATATTCTTTTATTATCTCACTACATTATTATTATTATTATTTATTATTATTTTGTGAGTTACAGAATTCATTGATATTATATTATTCATGTCACGTGCAGTGCTGCTCAAAATCACAAATTCCATCATTTAGATCACTTTTCTAAATTTATTTTTATTTTTTTATTTTTGATATTTTTTATTTAAATTTTTATTTTATTTTTGATTTAGGACAAAAAAATTGCAAATATATATATATATATATATATATATATATATATAATTTTTTAAAATAATCTTAAAAATAGAAAATAGCGCAATTAGGTTGACTTTGACTTTGTTGATCTTGTTGACTTCGACCAATCTGCTTCTTGGTGCATGACTGGAACCAATTCTAGTCAATTACTTGCATTTGATCCTAAGATTGAACGCACTTGGAACAAGTTGAATAGGCTTAAATTGGAAGGTAGTGTGCATAGTCATTGTAGTGATACCCTTGATAGTGTTAATGTGCACTCTAATTGTGAGCATTCTAATTGTGATCATTATGATAGTATATCTGTGCATTCTGATATTATGACTAATAATCAACACGAAAGAACTCTTAAAGAATTGGCTGCACCAGATGTCACATACCAACCATTAGGCATCCAATATTTTGATGTAGATGCTATATTTGAGTTAAAATCTAGTCTAATCCATTTGTTGCGTAAGTTTAATGGTAGTGCAGGTGAGGATCCTCATAAGCATCTGAAGGAGTTTCACATAGTCTGCTCAAACAATGAAGCCTCAAGGAGTTCCAGAAGACCACATCAAGCTGAAAGCCTTTCCATTCTCTTTAGATGGTGCAATGAAAGATTGACTATATTACTTGCAGCCAGGGTGTGTCACTTGCTGAATAGACTTGAAGAAGATGTTCCTGAAAAAGTTCTTTCTGCTTCTAGAGCAGCCACAATCAGAAAAGAGATCAGTGACATCAGATAGTTCAGCCAAGAAAGCCTATATGAGTATTGGGAGAGATTCAAGAAGTTATGCGCAACCTGTCCACACCATCATATCAGTGACCAGCTTCTTATTCAATACTTCTATGAAGGTCTTTCTCCAATGGAGAGGAGTATGCTTGATGCAGCAAGCGGTAGAGCTCTCATGGACAAGACACCATCTACAGCCAGAGCACTAATTGACAACATGGTAGAGAACTCTCAGCAGTTTAATATAAGAGCCATGGCACTAATAAGAGAGGTCCATAATGTACAGCAACCAACCCATATGGTAGCAAATTCTAGCAGACTTGAGAGCATAATTGAGGAGCTCACTACTTTCGTGAGATAGCTAGCTATTGCGCAACAAACTATTTCACAAGGAGGGGTGACCAGAGACTGTCATATTTGTTCCTCCATAGAGCACACCTCAGATTGTTTTCCTTTGTTGCATGATGATAGCCAACAAACTTTAGTCCATGGAGTTTTTAGTGGAAAACAAGACCAATACATAGCTTTGAATTTCCTACAACCTCAAAGACAACAACAGCCGTACAGGTTCCAGTACCAATCTCATAATCCTGCCTTCAATGATCATCCAAATATGAGATATGGTACTTCTGAGCAGTAGCAACAACAGACTAGCCAAGCAAGTAATGGCTATAGACCACCCCCTATGAGGCAGCAACAAACACAACAAAGTTCTGAGCCTTCTTTAGAGGATTTGGTCAAACAAATGGCCAAGAGAAATTTACAATTTCAATAGAATATCAATGCCTCCATTCAACACCTGCAGACATAGATTGGCCAGCTTGCTACCATTGTAAACCAGTTCAAGTCTCAAGGTTCTGAACAACTCCTTTCTCAAACAGAGGTTAATCCTAGAAACGTGAGTGCCATAATATTGAGGAGTGGGAAGGAGTTGTCAGGCAACCAGAAAGATGAAGAGGTACAAGATAACGTGGACGCAGAGAAACAGCAAAACATAGAGCAATAAACTACCCCTAGCAGTTCAGAAATTGTGCAGAAACCACCCCTTCCCTTTCCGAACAGAGTGGCCAAGCCAAGGCCATCAACAAACTTTGATAAAGAGTTTTTTGAGACATTCAGAAGAGTAGAAGTGAACATTCCACTGTTGGATGCGATAAAACAAATGTCAAAATTTGCAAAGTTTCTTAAAGAGTTGTGCACTAACAAGAGGAGACTGAAAGGAGATGAAAGAGTCAGCATGGGGAGGAATGTGTCAACCCTTATACAGCCCAATATGCCGCAGAAGTGTAAGGATCCTGACACTTTTACTGTCCCTTGCATTGTTGGAAATTCCACCTTCAGCAATGCATTACTTGATCTTGGTGCTTCCATGAATGTGATGCTTATATCAATTTATAGGTCTTTAACCCTTGGCCTTCTAAAGCAAACTGGTGTAGTCATTCAATTGGCAAATAGGAGCACTGCATTTCATATTGGAGTAGTAGAAGACGTACTAGTGAGAGTGAATAAGCTGATATTCCCTGCAGATTTCTACATTCTAGACATGGCAGAAGAGCCCAACATGCCTACACTAATCCTTTGTAGACCTTCTTGAAAATAGCAAGGAAAAAGATTGATGTGCACTCAATAATTCTATCCATGGAGTTTGGAAATGATATTGTACAGTTCAACATCTTTGAGGCCATGAAGCATCCATCAGAGCTGCATAGTGCATTTCATATAGATATTATTGATGTTTTAATTGTGGAGTTTTGTATTGATTTTTCTGATATTTCTAGTTGTACATGCATTGTAGGAGATTTGTGTAAAATTTATGCTGAAATAGATGCATATTTAACAGTTGATGATGTTTCATGTGATGCAGTAGTAGGTTTAGAAAGCTCTAGCTTGATGCATGCTGCAGAATTAGACTTATCCACTAGGACACTTCCCTCTATTATATAGCCACTGGCACTTGAACTGAAGCCTCTGCCCAAGCACTTGAAGTATGTATATTTAGAGGCTGATAATAAGCTACCAGTGATCATTTCAGGAAATTTGGATGCTGCACAAGAGGAGAAATTGTTGCAAACTTTAGCAACCCACAAGCAAGCAATTGGGTAGACTTTGGTCGGCATTCTAGGAATTAGCCCATCCACTTGTATGCATAGAATTCTGCTGGATGAAGATGCAAAACCTGTGAGACAGCCCCAAAGAATGCTGAATCCCACCCTTCTGGAGGTAGTGAAAAAAGAAGTTGGTAAACTGTTAGCTGCTGGAATGATATACCCGATCTTCGATAGTGAGTGGGTGAGTCCGATCCATGTTGTACCCAAGAAGACCGGTATAATAGTCACAAATAACCAATTTGATGAGCTGATTCTGACTAGAATTCAGAATGGGTGGCGAGTCTGTATTGATTATAGGAAGCTGAATCACGCCACTTGTAAGGACCATTTTTTCCTGCCTTTTATTGATCAGGTCTTGGAGCGGATAGCAAGAAAATCCCATTACTGGTTTCTAGATGGATTTTCTGGTTACTTTCAAATACACATAGCCCCAAAGGATCAGCATAAGACGACATTCACTTATCCTTTTAATACCTTTGCTTACAGACAAATGTCATTCAGACTGTGTAATGCACCAGACATTTTTCAGAGGTGTATGATAAGCATATTTGCGTACTTCCTAGAGACCTCACTTGAAGTATTCATGGACGACTTTACTATTTATGGGTCTTTATTTGATGCATGTTTAGATAACTTATCTAGACTATTAGATAGATGCATGCAGTTTAATTTGGTTTTAAAATATGAGAAATGTCATTTTATGGTGACCGAAGGGACTGTACTAGGGCATGTAGTGTCAAGTAGGGGTATTGAGACTGGTAAAGCCAAGATTGATGTAATTGTTTCTTTACCTTATCCTACTTCTATGAAATAAGTGCGCTCTTTTCTTGGCCATGCAGGTTTCTATAGGTGTTTCATCAAGGATTTTAGCAGAATCGCGTCCCCATTATCTCCATTTTTGCAAAAAGATGCTAATTTCATCTTTGATCAAACCTACAAGGACGCTTTTCATGAGCTGAAGAGGCGCCTCATTTCTATTCCAATCATTCAACCTTTGAGTTGGGAGATTCCGTTTGAGCTTATGTATGATGCTTTGAACTTTACAGTTGGTGCTGTCATTGGTCAAAAAGTGGAGAAGCAACCCCATGTCATAACCTATGTTTCTCAGACATTGGATAAAGCAAAAGAAACTACACTACTACAGAAAAAGAACTTTTAGCCATTGTTTTTGCTTTAGATAAATTTCGTTCATATTTACTTAGTTCTAAAGTAATTATTTTCTCTGATCATGCAGCTTTGAGTTACTTGCTTAAAAAGTCAAATTCTAAACTGAGACTAATTTGCTGGATGCTTCTTCTGCAAGAGTTTGACATTGAGATCCAAGTTAGATGTAGTGCAGAAAACCTAGTGGCAGATCATTTGAGCAAAATTCGGCAGCCACTGGAGGATCTCCCCATTAGAGACACCTTTCCAGATGAGCAACTTTACCACATTGGAGGGCATGATCCTTGGTTTACAGACTTGGTGGATTATTTGGCTGCCAAGGAGATTCCTAAATACTTTTCCAAAGCTCAAACTGCCAAGCTGAAGAGTGATTCCAAATACTACATTTGGGATGATCCATACTTATGGAAGATGTGCAATGACAAGATTATTAGACGATGTGTACCCGAACTTGAGTTCCAGTCTGTGCTTAGATTTTGCCATTCTTGGCTTGTGGTGGACACTTTGAACCTCAACATACAACCCAAAAGATTTTAGATTCTGGACTATATTGGCCTACAATGTTTCGGGATGCATACAACTTTTGTAAGACATGCGGGTAATGCCAAAGGACTGGAAACATTTCGCGCCGGAATGAGATGCCCCAACTACCTCTCCGTTTCTGTGAGGTGTTTGATGTATGGGGAATAGATTTTATGGGTTCCTTTCCTGTTTCGTTTGGCTATACCTATATTTTGTTAGTAGTGGACTATGTCTCCAAGTGGGTGGAGGCAAAGGCCACTTGTACTGATGATACTCGTGTTATTATAGATTTTGTAAAGTCACATATTTTCTGCAGGTTTGAATTTCACAGAGCATTAATCAGTGACCAGGGATCACACTTTTGCAATCGCACAATGGCTACCTTACTTCAAAAGTTTGGGGTTATGAATGAAGTTTTTACACCATACCACCTTCAGACTAACGGATAAGCAGAGATCTCCAATTGGGAAATAAAGCAAAACTTGGAGAAGACTGTCCAACCCAAAAGAAAGGAATGAAGTCTACGCTTGGAGGAAGCTCTATGGGCTTATAGAACTGCCTATAAAACACCTATAAGAATGTCTCCTTATCGGGTTGTTTTTGGTAAGGCATGTCATCTACTAGTAAAAGTGGAGCATAAGGCATTCTGGGCGATTAAGCAATGTAACCTAGATATAGAGGCAGTTGGCTCGCATAGGAAGCTTCAATTACAAGAGTTGGAGGAGATTCGTAGAGAAGCATATCAGAACTCCAACATCTACAAAGAGTATACCAAGGCTTTTCATGATAAGCTAATAGGGCGTAAAGAGTTCCATATTGGTGACAAAGTCCTTTTATATAATTCTAGACTTAAGTTAATGCCCAGTAAATTGAGATCTAGGTGGGATGGTCCCTTTCTTGTTATTAACGTTTTTCCTTATGGTGTTGTTAGACTTCAGGATATAGGATCGCAAAGGAGGTTCAAGGTTAATAGGCATCAGCTCAAGGTTTTTCATGAGAGCTTGGGGGAACATAAACAAGAGGAGGTCACTTTTGAATTGGCCACCTACCCTGATTTATAAGGAGTTTTCTTACCTCTCTCTTACTTATTGGATTGTTTAAGTTGTCCTTATGCTTATTGTGTTTTCCATTGAGGACAGTGTTAATTTCAAGTAGGGGGAGTATTATGTTTTTGATGTGTACATAGTCTAATTAAGTGATTATTTCAAGGCTTTGATGAATTGATTGAATTATTCTTTAGTTTGATAGGTGGACTTTGATATCTTGTGTGTTTGATTATTTGGGATAAAATATATACCTTGTGAGGTTTTTAGCCATATAGATGACAATATCATGTCATTTTACTTTCCTTCATTGAGTGATTGCACTCATGGTTGTATGACACTAGAACTTGCCTTGAGCCTTTTTAAGACTATATTTTTATATGCTTGCATTAACATGATAGAGGCATAATTTCCTTCTTGCAAACTACTAGCTAAAAAGCCAACCTTGCATTATTTCCATTTTTTGAGCCCTTTTGAGCCTAATTGTCCTATTTCTTGTGATCTTAGCTCATTTCAAGCCAAAGGTATAAAACAATAAAATGACCCAACCTTAGGGAATACAAGAACTTTGGAATTTAGGGAATGGTCATAGAAATAAGTGTGGGGGAGATTACTTCAGAAAATGCAAAAGAAAAGAAAAATCAGCCACTTATAAAAAAAAAAGAAGAAGAAGAAGAGAAAAAAGAAAAGGAAAAGAAACATTAGATGGCTAGCAAAAGTAAAAGAGGATTATTTCTGGATTGTATTACATTATATCTTTGTTTAGGAGATTTACTTTCATGCTTACTTTTTGGATTCATTCCTCATCGTTCTTATATCCTCTTTGGTTTTAGCTTGATTATCGTTGTAATTTTTCCACTTCACTATGCCTCTTTATAACCTAGAAAAGTCCTCTTAATTTTTGTGTGTATGTGTGAATTCTAGTGAAGAAGTAGGCAATGGGAAAGCTTATGGATGATCATGCTTCATGTTGTGCATTTTGAGTGACATACTTTACCTTATATACTTAAGTGATTGAGAGTATATTGTGTGAGGATTCTATCTTTTATGGTTTATTCACTTGATTTGATAAGTTCATTTGTCAATTTGAAGTATGAGGATTGATTTTCATTCTAGCTATGGTTGATTTTATGATTTGCCCCAGAGGGCAAAATATTAAGTGCGAAGGAGTTTGATGTAACATATTTTATGTTTACATTTAATGTTTTATTTTGATTAATAAACACTTTTTATATGCTTTATTTTTGTATTTTTTATCATTTTCTACTTATTTGAATAAATTGGGCCTATTACAAATAAATGCTTTAATTTTGAATATTCGGTTATTCTGACTTCTGACTACTCTTTTGGCCATAACTTTTTCTACAGATATCATTTTTAGCTGATTCTAGTTGCATTGGATTCTACACATCCAGGGCTTCAAAATTCATATATGGATTGCTGGATTTGGAGTTGTTTTCTATTTTTTATTATTTTTTAAAGTTGAGACAAATTTATTGAATATTGTTGTGAGATTGCATTTAGACCCTTGTTATTTAATAATTGTATTTGGGCTTTTAGATATTATTGAGGCCCACATTTTGGCCACTTAATTTACCCTAATCAGAACCTATAAATAGACTAATAAGGTTTTGAATTAGAGAGAGGGGTTAGACACTTTGAGCTTTTGAGACTAGGCTGAAATAAGAATCCTTATTTTTACTTTCTGTCGAACTCTCTCGTTCTTTTCTCATTCTTGTGTGGGTTAAGCGTTTTGATGGAAGGCTAAACCTCTAATTCAATCCACAGAATTCAAATGCTATAGTTCCAACTTGAGTTCTACACTAATTGCTCTGAGTTTGTTCTCTTTTTCTCTCTAATCTCAGAATTGTTTATTGCGACCGTGATTGACTTTTCTGTTGTTAGATTTCAAACTAGGACTCAATTGATGCTCTAATTTGATAATTAATGCGAATTAGGTTAAATGATTATTTGATTTAATTTGTAACTCTATTCAATTAGGTTATTCGATTGAATTAATAATTGAATTGGGTGATTGTTCAAACGTGGATTTAAATCTTTAGATACTGTGATAGTCAGAGTTACACGCAATTGGTATTTTGTGGATTGATATTTCTTAATTCATTTTTTACTCACTTTAATTCTGTTTGTAATTTAATTTGATTAATTACAATTCTTAAAACCCCAAAAACCTTATTTGCATTTTTTAAAAGAAAATATTTAGAAAACTTAGTTGTTTTAATAGTGACTCGGCAATCGTCTATCAGTCCACTATCACTCTGAAAATGGTCACTTTCAACTCAAATTTTCTCAAAGGCTAAAAATCCATGGAATAAGTCTAGAAATTCCTGCACAATTATTCAAATGATCAAAATTGCAAATTATATCTATGTAAATCTATGCAAATTATATAATTGTTCAATAAATTCAATTTTCACTTTAGCAATTCAAATTGTTTAGATTTAATAGAATTCTTATGTAATTTTGTTGTTAAAATAAATTCGTAGAAAATTTTGAGTAAAGGCACTTGGGTTAAAGGCATTAAGAGGTCAATATGGCTCAACATTGTCACTCTGGACACAAAAAGTTAACATTTCAGAGGTTTGGAGGACAAATAAAGTGGAGCGTAGGCATTTTTCCCACCAAAAGTGAGAACTTTAGAGGATAATATGCATCAATGTTCTATGTGTAACAACTTTTATAGCCAAGATTAGCCACTTTGTAGGCCGATTGAGGAAGTGCAGGGTCTCACAAGTGACAACTACAAAGCTTATTAGAAAGAATATAATGCGCGTAACCACTTTTAAAGTCAAGAGTTAACATTATATAGAGGCTAAATCAAGAATATACTACATGACCACTTTTCATGGTGAAAGTATTCACTTTAGAGGTTTTTTTGGATAGAAAGGCTATACGCATAAACACTTTCAAGAGCAAAAGTAGATGTTTCAGAGGTCTATTAAAAGAAATGCCATGTGGAATTGAAGGTGTGTGTAGTTACTTTCATGGTCAAAATGGCTGTTCTAGAGGTTGTTTTAGCTTATTTGTGGAATTAAAGGTGTGCGTAGTTACTTTCATGGTCAAAATGGTTGTTTCAGAGGTTGTTTTCTACAGAAAGCTATACGCATGATCACTTTTTCCACCATAAGTGATCATGCTAGAAATGCAGAAAAATATATAAATTACTTCAAACTAATATTTTTAAGGGCTTTTCTCATTTTTTCCTTTTCACACCTTCAAAGAGTTAGAGAGAGAAGATTAAGGGCTAATTCCAAGTTCAAAATTTTGAGGAATCACGTTAGGAATTGGAATCATAAAGATTATCTTCAACTTTTCTCCTTCTACTCTTTCTTTCTCTCATTCCTTCGTAATGTTGTTCTTATTCTCCTCGGTTAGAGATTTATGGATCCGAATTTGAAATTGTAACTTGATTATGGATTTGAACACTAAGATTTTGATTGAATTGAGCATTTAATTTTTTCCTTAATACAATTATTGGATGAACTATTCAATTGAATTGAATCTAGAGGATTTTCATCAATGAAAGTTGAGTTAATTTCTCATGTCTGAATTGAATGCCAATATTACTAATATCTTAGGAATAAGAATCCATGATCTTGCTATCTATTAATTTCTAATACCTAATGCAATATTTAATTGAATTACACCTAAGGAATTAGGGTAATTAATTGAATATTAGGATCATTGAGTGAAGGAATTGAACTTTGATTAAATTATTGAAATTGATCATCAATTAATCAAGAAATTTAGAAGTTCAGAGTACATTCAAGTTTGCAATTGATAATTTGGTGAAGTAATCCTTAACTCCATTTCATATATCATTTCAATTATAAATTCGTCACTTTGTTCTACTATAATTTCTGAACTTTTGTTATTAATTTTAATTTTCTTAATTTAGTTCAATTAACATGAGTTATATAATTATTTTCTTACAATTTTGCTAATTAGAATAATTATGCAAGAATTTTTGGATAATAATATATTGGATTTAAGCTTTTAAGAGAAAATTGGGTGGAAGTAATCACTTCCAGCACCTAAAGTAACTACTCTAGCAAGCTCCCCCCAAAGGCCAAGTGAAAGTAATCACTCTCACCATTGATAATGAACACTCCAGAGCCATTTCAGTAAGGCAAGGCTGCACATGTTTACTTTCACCATTGATAATGAACACTCTAGAGCCATTTTAGAGAGACGAGGCTGCGCATAATCACTTCACCATTCATAGTGATTACGCGTAAGCCTATTTTGCTGATGAAGCCACAGGTGTTTAGTCCCAACAGCCAAAGTAATTACGGGTGCTGTGCGTAATTACTTCTAGTACTGAAAGTGATCACTCTAGAGAGGAAGCAATGCAATAGGACCTGCGCATAATTACTTCACCATTCAAAGTGATTACGCCAGGAAAATGTTAACTTTACTATAAATAGCTACTCAATTAATGGATAGGGACCTTTTTGCCATTTTTGTACTTTTTATTTTTACACACTATCAGAGGATTAGGTTAGAGCTCTAGGTGGTTGCCAAGAGCTTATTTTTAGGGTTCTTGTTTCTTTTTTCATCTCTTTACTTTGATTTTCTAGTTTTGTTGAACACTTATTACTTATAATGTTGAACCCCATCTATATGGAAGGCTAGTTTTTGGATATTAATTCCCAGCAAGTTCATAATGGTTCTTGAAATCTTGGTTTAATTGCTAATACGAAATCTTGGTCTACTTATGAATTTCATTTCCTTAATTTCTTGAGAACTAAATTAGGAATTGAATGAGTATTGTTGCTTAATCAATCTAGGTTTCTTAATTAGGGTTTCGAAGCCTAGTTTTGTAACGTCCCAAATTTTGTAATGATATTTCATATACTAATATAAATTATGAATTTTGATTTGAATAGGGATTTGATGAGTACAATGATGTGAATGTATGTATATATGTGTGAGTACGTGTAGATGAATATATATATATATATATATATATATATATATATATATATATATATATA